CTATAAATGTAGAGGTTTAAGCATATTTTCAACACGAAGTATTTTAAGAAATGCCATGATAGCTAACCCTGGATTTAAAAAAATAAAATAAAAAACTCAACAGGAGTTCATATTTCCTCTAAAAGGCAGCAGAGGCTTTGGCCAACACCCATCTAGGACATGTTGCTCTTAAATTCTGGGGTGTTAGCTGAGTAGGAACATCATCTTCCCAAATGAAAAAATAATTCCTGGAGCCATGGAAGGCTGTGGAAGAGAGGTGTGAGGGAGGTGAGTGTGGAAGAGAGGAAAGGCAAATCTGTGGGTGCCTAACCTGCCAAGGACCCAAAAGGCAACACCAGCCATCATGAACACATGGCCATGCCTTACAAACAAGGGCAAAACCTCCAGAAGAGGAGAGGGAGACTGGATACATCTGCAAGCCTGTGTGTCATGTTATTGCACAACTTCAGGCGCCCAGTGGAACCTTTCCAACATCAACAGTCCCCAGGCCAGAAAACAAACCTGGCGTCACAGGGTCTGAGTGTGAAAAAGGGATGTTTGGGGTATACAAGAAACTGAAATAGCTTCTTTTTTTTTTTTGCCTCTAAAAGAAGATTGAGAAGATGGTCTCCTACCCAAGTATACTTCACAGAGACTGACTCCAGCCTCCCCATGCATGTGGCTGGAGTTTACCTGAACCCGGAATCTTCTATCAAACTCCAATAGAAAATGATCTCAGGTATTTAACTCTGAGGCCCCAATCCTCATGAAAGCCAATGGTCCAGACACGAGTTCTCATCGAAGTATGTCCAACTCCACATTAACCAAATGAGCAAACATGTGAGAAGGGGCTAGCACAAAGCATAAAAGCGCTCTGTCATACCAGCATTGCTCTGTTTGGTTTTGAAATCATTTATGGTAAACCTACTATGTGCCCAGAATTATATGTCTGAAGTTGACATATAATACCAAAAAATACTGCAGGGTACTCCCTTTGTTCTGCATAAAAGGAAAACAAGACTCAGGGAAGCTGACTGGCCCTCCCAGGCTCACCACACCTCCCAGAGAAGCTAGCCTTAGAAGCCAGGTCTACAGGCTTATCTGATTCCAAAGTCCATGTTTTGACGTATATGGTTTCTGTGAAAAGCTTCCCTACCCCACTGTCCAAAACTTATACCTCAGGATGCTTGGTTGGCAACTAAGTGTGAGAGCCTGCACTGAAACATGATGGTAATGTGAGAATGGTTCCTATGGGGACCAATGGATGATGAAGAGCTTTGTAAGCTGCCCCAGGAATCCCTATACTGATGCAGGCTTACCTGGCACATTACAAAGCATCTCAGGACCACAGCTTCCACTACTGCTTGTCTATGAAGTGGCCAAAAAACTTGAGTGAGACAACCCATGCATATATTCACATTCAAATGCCCTATTCAATCACATACACGAGGGGCCAGCAAACTTTCTTTGTAAAAGATCATAAAGTAAATATGGCTTTACAGTTCACACAGGCTCTGCCACAGCTATTCAAGACTATTTTCATGGATGAAAATGGCTGCAAAAACATACAGATAAATGAGTGTTGCTGTGTTCTAATAAAACTTTATTTGCAAAAATAACCAGGTGGCCACTTGCTACTCTTGCATATACTCTTGTGCAAGTATATGACATGATTACATCAATAAGATTGACAAGTACTCAATCAGTATAGCCAGTTGCTCGTGACACCAAATATTCCAGACTCTAAAGAGCTTACTAAGACACCAAGGCCTAAAACTTTTCCTTGATCTGCTTCTTCTAGGAAATTGTTAAATTTCCTGCAACTATTCTGTCCTATACACTAACCTTATAAGCACAGCTGGGGTCAATCGGGGAAAATAAAGGTGGCTGGGTCACTCCAACAAGACAAAGGTGATTATACCTGCCTGGAAACTGTTTCTTAATATGACCCTGTGCTCAGGCAGTAGAAAGCTGCATAAGCGAGGACGGGTGGAAAGCAGAATGTGACACTAGCACGTTATCACACTCTGAGACTATAAGTTAGAAAGACAAGTCCAGCTACTTAATAGCTATGGCCCAGGGTAAGTTATCCCCCACCCCTCCCTCACTTTCTCCCTTCCTCCTTCTCTCCCTCTAACTTTTCATCTATAGGACAATAGTTATCTGATAGGGTTAAGGGGAAATGAGCTCAAATGAGATAACAAATGTGAAGTTCTACAAGTCATGACAAGATTACCTGCTGTGACAATGTTACTCTGATTTTACTGATAATAGAATGCTGATCTTCCCTCCTCCATCTTTCCCAAAGCAACAGATGCACCGCTATATTCCATAACAAATAACACAGGAAGACATTAATGCCATTGTATTCACAGAATTTATTATCTAGGTAGAGAAATTAGCCACAGGTTAGTAGATAATAAATTCATGGAAGTGCTTGTTAAGTGAGCATTTCATGCAAGAAGTACTTTATAACCTGCAGAGGACAGACTTCTATTTACTTGGTCAGAGGATAAAAATTCTCTCACTGGAAATTTACAGACTTCTCACGTCCTACAGACTAGGAAGAGTATTTGAAATGTTACTTCTAGCAAAAGGTGCTACACATGTGCCAAACCCACTTCTTTGACTTATTCTAGTTCAACAGTGAAGATGGAGAAGAGGTCCCTAGAAAAAGCTTGTCTGATAGATAACATCAAATTCTTTCCTGAATGAAGAATTACCACAACAAACATCAAAATATTTTCTGAATGAAGTGACAACATCAAATTCTTTCTTAAGTGAAGAATTACCACAATAAACCTGGTTAGGTGTGGTGGTACATATCTATAATCCTAGCACTCAGAAGGTTGAGGCAGGAGGATTGTGAGTTCCAGACCAATTTGAGGTCTATAATGAAACACTATTTCAAAATCTAAGAGTTAGATATGTGGATCAGTGGTGATTTCCAACACCACAAAATGGAATAGAATAAGAACCCACATTTTACTGATTCTAAAACTCATGCTTTAATCATTGTATTATTCTGTCAGACTGTAGTTCAAGGGCATTCACAGAGTCTCCTTCCACCTCACCATCCCATACTTTCACCTTGTATCAAATAGTAAACCAGGCACATGAAGAAGTAGAGTCAAGCCATACAGAAAATCCCCCATTGCCACAGAGATTCACCTCTGGTCTCATTCCCTGAATTCTAGCCTCTACACTGCCACCTATAGGGCAAAGATGACACACGTAAAACTGAAAGGCCAAGGATAGCATATTCACTCATTGGTCAAAGGTCATGTAAAACTCTGCCTGCCCATTCAAACCCATTCAAAGGCAAGTCATTTTTTGTTCAAAGTCTATGTCAACTATGAAAGATGCTACAGCTAATTAAATTACCAGACATAAATTATGAAAAATGTTGTTTCTCACAATGAAGTCTTAAGTAAAAGAAGAATGATCCTCTGTGACACTGATACAGATCTGGTTTGTTATTGTAATTTAAGTTTTCCTACTGGTGAACATTTAGTCTTTATTGATGATCAATGAACTTGGCTGACTTTGATCTTTGTTGATGGCAAATAAATATTACAAATAAATCCTACAGGGGCTGGAGAGATGGCTCACTGGTTAAGAGCACTGACTGCTCTTACAGACGACCTGGGTTCGGTTCCCAGCACCAGGATGACAGCTAACAACTGTCCTGTAACCCCAGTTCTAGGGGATCCCATGCCCTCTTCTGACCTTCTCAGGCATTGTACAACACAGGTACACTTATATACATGCAAGAAATACACTCAAACACATAAAATAAAAATAATAAATTAAAAAAACAAATTCTATAAATCTGACCACTCTTCCAAATGTATCAGCTTTTTACCAAGGGTTCAGTCAGTACCAGAACCTGACCACTTCTAAGACCCCAAAAGATCAAAACAGGAAGTGCATGATTGCAAGCAGCTTTCTGAGCCTTAAACAGATAGAACCAAGTCTATCTGGACCTGAAGTCCAGCTTCTTTATGCCCAGCTATTCTCTCAAGTTCTTCTGCATGGCATTTAGAAAGTCGACCAAAATATTAAAACAAATAGTTAAAAAAAAATTTAAGACGGGGTCTCTCTATAGCCCCGGGTGGCCTGGAACTCACTATATAGACCAGGCTAGCCTCAATCTCACAGAGATATGCCTGTTTCTACCTTTCAAGTGCTGGTATTAAAGGCATGTGCCACTGTACCTGCTTATACAGTCAATTTTTTATTAGCTACAGGGATCAACTATTCATAAAAGATGATGCTGATAATGTTAAAAGGAGAAAATTAAAAATTAAAAGAGACTAAATCATCCAGTCTCTTTATTTTGTATCTGTAGAAAATAAAGACAAAACAAATTAAACAAACTTAACTGAAACTACATTGCAATGCTAGGCATAGCATCATAAACCCAACACTCAGTAGACTGAGGCAGAAGGATCACTAGATTGAGACCAGCTTGGGCTACATAAGGAGAACTTGTCTCAGAAAAGGAGGAGAAGGAGGTAGTCCAGTTGGGAGGGAAGGAGAGAAAGAAGGAAGGAGAGGGATGAGCTCAGTGCTTAAGAGCACTGGCTGCTTTTACAGAGGACCCAGATTCAGTTCCCAGCACTCACACTTCAGATAACAACCATCTGTAACTACAGTTCCAGGGGAATCTGACACTCTCTTCTGACATCCACGGGCATTGCATGACATGGTGCACTTACATGCATGCAGGCAATACACTCATACACATAAAATAAAAATAACAAATAAAATAATTTAAAAATAAAAGCTACAGTGTTTCCCAGCCTGCACTGTGATCATTTATCTATATAACCATCTGGGAGGGAGGAAGGGAGGGCGGAAGGGAGGAAGGGAGGGCGGAAGGGAGGAAGGAAGGAAGGAAGGAAGGAAGAAGGAGAGAAACGAGAAAAACGAGAAAAGAAAAACCCACATGGTAGGTGGTCATAGAGCAACAATGGAACAGAGGATTGGGTACATATAATTCAAGGAAGATTATTTACCTGAATTTCTTACATTGGTGTTATTCAATTTGGAGTCTTTGATTACCAAGTGCTTAATCCATAGGGTGGGAGCTGTGATTTCTAGAAAAAAGAGAAAAAATAAGTGGACAGAGAACTGTAAGACATGGAGTATAACCCAGACTCTAATGAGCTTTTTTTTTTTTTTAAGGCTTGGGCATCAAAGCTTCAATTATCTCCCTCTTGGCATATTGACCTCATCCTAGTGCCAACAACCCTCTCTCTTCCTTGCGACGGAAGTTCCTCTCCCTACCAACTTGTAAGAGCCAAGCAGGGCATCCTGTGCTCAGAGGTAGAGTGGTCAGAATCCAGAGGCACCAAGCCACTCCATCCAGGAATAAAAATATTATCCCAGGAGGTGAGGCACATTGGCCAAGCCAAGTCCCTCTCAGCTGCTTCCCTGGGAGAAGATTTAAAGGGGATAAATCAACAAACGAATGCCGAACCAACCACAGAGACCATTTTAGAGGAAACAGCTGAGCCACAGTAGATTCAGCTTGCTGAGACTGCTCCACATGGGAAAGAAAGAAGTGCGTCTGACATACACTTCAACCCCTTCTCACAATCTGCTTGAACAAAGCTCAGTACTTTCATCCAGAGCATCCCAGGTACTTCCAGGCTCTCAGGACCAGCAACCAAGCAGATAGCAGGTGTGGGAGTCCTGTGGGTGACTCTGAGCATACCGTGCAGCAACAAGCTCTTCAGTGACAGTGCTAGGGAAGTCTCCCAAAATGGCATCATCTCCATAACTAATCCACTAAGACCCAGACTTCCCAATGACAAAGATGGATCTTTGTGATCGTCGACACTTGAGTTCTTAGACACGAACCCACCTGTGTTCCCTTCAATAGGCCAACTGCAGAATATATCTCATTTTCAGTTCTCACAGAGCTGAGCCTGTGCTATGAGCTTCCCTGCTTGTTGTGGTGCCAGCCCAGGATTTTGTTTTGTTCTTCTATCTCATGGCCCAGGTCCAGATATACTCAGCTGAGAGCTGCTAAAATGTTGCTGTATATTGCTCTGAAAAGCTGAACCTCATTTGGAGGCTTTCTGGAAACCTCACTTGACCAAACTTCCTGTTCGTGCTCACAGAATCCAGAGTACTCAGTAAAGTCCCCATAGAATTGAAGGCTCAAGCAGCTTCAGCTTGAATGAAGGCCAGGTTTCTGTACCCCAGGCTCCTTTAATCTACTCCCCACACCTCCAAGGACTTCTAACCTTTATTTTGTCACCAGTCACTACTTCCCTTGACCTAGAATTTCCTTCCCAAGTATCTTGATTCAACTCCCCAAGTCACTGTAATGTAGCCCAAGCAGCCCCACTCTCCAGTCTCTTTGTTGTGTCTGCCCTTGCCATTTCCCATCCCCACCACATTCCCTCCTAGTTCCTGTCAGTCCTCCCCTCTGATTGCAAGATCCAGCTTAAGTCCCATCTCTCCACACTTCTTCCCAGAGCAATGCCACCTCTTTCTTCCATAAGCAACCATTACAATGAAAACCAAGACCAAAGAATTCAGTTCAGTCCATAAGCTCTGGTGATTTTAGCAGTCTTGAGGGCAAAGATTGACTTCCTTTTTATCCCCCAGGGTCTCTGCACCACTCAAGGCACAGAGCAGCACTTCTAAGTGCGGAATCACATACTGAGGGGACACCACCAGCCTGACAACTTCTTTTGCCATGATTCCCTGCCTTGGCAGCTCAGAAGGTCTGTCCAAGCCATGTTTTTGTTGGACATCAGGATGCAGGCAGGAAGCCTTGGAAGAACAGAGGGTCTGTTCCAGAAGTGAAGAGTGTATACCAGTTCCTTGGAGAATTCACCTTTTTAAAAATGTTAGGACAACCCAGCTTACACTGGGGAAAATTGAAATTAAAAAAGGAAATAAAAATAATGAACCCTACACAAACACTAAAGCTATTATTTTACCAAAATTTGAAATGAGTGGAAAGAATGCGAGTCAGAAGTAACACAAGGGCTTACCATCTCCATCGAACATGGGCTGGGTCTCCATCGTGGGTGTGGGCTTAGAACCGTCATCTGAATTGAGAGTTAAAAAGAAGCGAAAAGAGACTACCATTATTGAGGTAAATACTATCTACTCTCCAGCACTGTTGAATGGTTGGGGTTTGTACATGGCCCGGCCAAGTCCCAATAAAGAGACCAAAGGAAAAGAAGAGGAGGAAGAAAAAGAGTGAGAAGAAAAGAGAGTCAGAGACAAGAAGAAAACAGATCCAGGTGTGTGCTCACCATCCCAGGACTCAAAAGGAGCTAGGTCTCATGGCATTGGAAGACCCTTCTCTTCAATCTGAGGATGCTGTAGGCCTCTGCCAGCCCATTTCTCCCCACAGTAGAGCTGGTGGGAGACCTCTCCACCAGCAGCAGGCTAGGGTAACATTGGCAGCCCTGTGGCATGAAATTCTGGTGTCTCCAGTTCAATTCCTGTCCCCTAATGCAAGGAAGCAGCTTAGAAACTTCTAGTGGCCCTGGCTGAAAAACTTAGTTTGGGGGCTTACTCCCTTCCAAACTCCAAGCTGTTTCTCCATCCTTGCCTTTAAAAAGATGAGCCGGCCCAGGGTGGTAGCACACGCCTTTAATCCCAGCACTTGGGAGGCAGAGGCAGGCGTATCTTCGTGAGTTTGAGGCCAGCCTGGTCTACATAGTGAGTTCCAGGACAGCTGGGGCTACAAGGAGACCGTCTCAAAACAGATTATTATTAGTCAGTTCTGTCTATACTTGCTCATCAGATCTAGAATGTAATATAATACACTGCACAGTGGCACAGTGTTAACTGAGTCTAACCAATTTTTCTGCCTCTCTCTCTTTCTCTCTCTCTCTCTCTCTCTCTCTCTCTCTCTCTCTCTCTCTCCAGTATATTAAAGAAAATCAGGAATCCTGCGAACATTTTCAACTGAAACAGATGAAACACAATTCCCAGTAGTAGGTGGGACGGACAAGAGGAGAGAGACTGCACGGGAGATGATGGGGATTACCCAGGCCTTCCTTTGACCTTCTATCATGGATGATGGGAGCAAAGTGTTCCCAGTAGCAAAGTCCTAATTGGCAGCTCTTTCTCCAGAGTGAGAACCTCCACAGGTCAGGCAGACCATTTATTTACCTTCCAGGGCTCTGCCTTACTTTCTCATCAAGGTCTCAAAAGCTTTAGCTTAGAGAAGTGTTTTGTAACATTTTTTCATTATTGCTCATTTAAGAAGTATTTTTAGATCATTTTTCCCAATCATCTCCTAATGAAATTTTAGTGGACAAAGTATAATAAGCATCATGCACTGCGAATACAAACCTGTATTTTATACATAAAAAGGATAATTTTTTTTCTAGCCTCCAAGAAACCATTCTACTCCCTTGGTAAAGGAGGATGGCAGTTATCTTTGTCTTCTTGGGAATAATTTAGAGATTTTTCTGTTTTCTCCCTCGGTGGAAGGAGGAAGGTTGAGAGCTATTGTTTGAGAAGGTTTGATGATTATACCAACCAGCTCCTCCCAAGACCTCCACTCCAGAGATCATTTAGGATGGAAAACTATATTCCCTGAGCATTAGCTATTTATAGAGAAGCCAAGTTCTCAGATAATCTTGAGACACTAGTCAGACCACCAATAATAACAGTGCTCCACCATCTGGAGCTCCAGTACCTTCAGCTGACTTCTCTGCATCTTCTCAGAAGAGGGAGAGAGAATGGAGTTCTCATCTCTTTTTGGTGTCAGCATCCCACCCTTGAAGACCCACATGTTTGCTGGGGCTGAGGCCAATAATCTGACAGCGGTGTGACACCTGACACTGCTATTATTCTCATGGGCTGACACTGAGACCCAGCTCTCATTAAAGCCAAAGCAATCCAGGACTCTCTGACAATCATCCCAAGAAATGAGACAGAGCAGGAGGAGAGGAGTAAGCATGCTGATATTTTATTTGCCACAATCTGGACCCCCAAACAGGCATCTTTGGATGCCAAACTGTATGAGCTTGATCTAGAAGTCATTGAGGGAGAATAAACACTGAGCAGAGCCACACAATGCCATTTTTTTAATAGCATCACTTCCCCTGACTCTATTAACACCTCTTTCCATTGACTTCAACAATCCACTGGATAGAGTCTTTTGGCAGGTGCAATGCACATTTGGTTGCTCCTGCCGGATGTAGAGTTCAGTGTAAATAGCTCAGCACAGTGTGCTCTGCTTCACTTTAGGAGCCTTAGGAGCTAACAAAGGGAAAGCAAGAGGTCAAATACTCCAAGAGAGATAACAATAAGAGCCCAAGCACAATAGTTTATGTAATACTTCCATATTTGATGAACACATTAAAATCTCCCAAGAAGAGCTATCACTCTTTCTGGAGCAAGATAACTGAAAATCGTCTGATTCTTCCTCCTGTCATCCAGATGAGAGCCCAGGACTGGCTACCTGGTATAGCCATCAGCAGAGAAGGTCTGAGACCAAGGTGAGCAAGGAGGGCTTCCCAGGGAGGATCTGCACTTCTGCAGGTGGTGGACCTCTGTCAATTGCTAGACAGAAGCCTACAGAACTGCACGCAGGGAACTGAGTCTTCCTGCAGGGTCACGGCGGGTGAGGAGACACAGCTGGTATGCCACAGGGAGGCCCTGGATGGAAAGCTTTATGAAGTGAGAAAAGACAAGGTACCCTGTTGCCAGAAGTCACCTGAGAAATCCAGCACACCAAAAGGCCAAGAAGCCAAGCCAAAGCCAACAGGACCCTCTAGCCATCATCTCCGGGCACCTGGGCACCTGGCTTCTGACCCAGCAAATAAGCACAACTCTTCTGCTAAACATAGGTCCAAAGCCTGGATCCAAGGTCCACAGCAGCTCTACTTCCAGACAAGCTTTGGAAAAGCACCAGGTTCCACAATGGGCCCTGGATTCCAATAGGTACTGCTGACTTCCTGGTACTTGGTGGAATCACATATTGATTCTTGCTTTACATCCAATGCACTGCTTAATCTAAACCTCTCACTTATTTCTCTGGGCAGCAATATATCCTCTCCTAAAAATGAAGAATACATGCCTGTACTCTTCAGAATACTGTCACTATGTGGGTATAAAAACCTTTAAAATCCTACTAAAGGAACTATGTAATCCCATGAGTAGGAACTATCTTATTTGAAATGCTTACTTTTAAGATTGGATTTATAAAATCAAAATTCTATCAAAGTTTTTTCTTTTTTCTTTTCTTTTTTTTTTTTTTTTTTTTTTTTTTTTTTCCCCAGCTGGCCTATAATACATTATGTAGACCAGGCTGGCCTCAAACTCACAGAGATCCACCTGCCTCTGCCTCCCAAGTGCTGGGATTAAAGGCATGTGCCACC